GTCATGCAGCTTGCTGGCATGCCATAGCAGTTACCCGCATACATGCAGGCATCTTGTGCGAATTTTTTCAGACCGAAACCTTTGCCACTCCCTGGGCGGATTCTTCATGTGATTTGGGAGTGGCACCGTGGCGCTCGCGTGCCTGCCTAGCACAAGACAGAATGCACACAAACGCAATAAACCCTCAACCCTAAACAAACCCTAAACCCTAAATCCTAACTCAAATCCCAGCAGAGCGATACTCAGGCAACAAAGCCCAGAAGAGGCAGGTCGAGCACAAAGAGAGCTAGGGGGGAAACGGAACCAGTTTAGTGTTTAGGGTTTAGGGCTTATAGGATTTAGAGTTTCACCGTTTGGGATGTGTGAAAGCTTACCTAGGGAACCAAAACCTATGAAGTCTGAGGGTCTCCTGTGCAAGCGGGCTTCCCTTTTGCAATTCTTGTAAACCATGGCCCAGGAGGGGCGTCATGATCCACTGCCACTGGGCAGGTGAGGGTGTCTGGGAGGTTCCCCGAAGCCGTAAATGCTAAGCAGATGAAAACTTAGGGTTTAGGGTTTAGGGTTTAGGGGTTAGGGAACCCCAAACCATAAACCTTCTCTTGAAAGGGTAAGGGTTGAGACGGAGCGAATCCTCGGCCAACCTACAAAAATGCTTGGAGTTCTCCTGTTGTCTAAATAAGTCGAATGCAGACTTGATCGTGGTCCCTGGACTTCCGACAAAGCATTCGGAATTCGCATCCTGCCTCGGCATTGGGGTTTAGGGTTTGGTGTTTAGGGTTTAGGGTTTGGGGTTTGGAATTTAGGGTTTAGGGTTTGGGGTTTAGGGTTTGCCTCCCAAGTGTTGCAACGGCAAGGGCCAGCAAGACCCACTTAACATAGGGGTCGGAGTAATTACCGATAATATCCCCTTAGGGTCCCTTGCTAAACAGCTTCGCAACTGAAGCCTCCTTGCACCCTAAACCCTGAACCCTGAACCCTAAACCCTAAACCCTAAACCCTAAACCCTAAACCCTAAACCCTAAACCCTAAACCCTAAACCTAAACCCTAAACCCTAAACCCTAAACCCTAAACCCTAAACCCTTCATCTGAGGCTTGGCGGGCCAGGCGCTCGGACGCCGAAGCGCGAGCCGCCCGTGCATCCGTCCGGAGACTTCATGAACCTGCGGAAGTCCCAACCCCCCCCCCCCCCCCGCCCCCGCGGGTTTAGGGTTTAGGGTTTAGGGTTTAGGGTTTAGGGTTTAGGGTTTAGGGTTTAGGGTTTAGGGTTTAGGGTTTAGGGTTTAGGGTTTAGGGTTTAGGGTTTAGGCGACACACACCCTTGTGCCCCCCGAAAACCCTGGCCCTAAGCTCAAGAGCAGCGGATCGTGGCCCCAAAGCTCTGAAGCCCCTCCAGCCCCTTCAGCGGCAAGTAAGAAGCAAGCGTACACCCTAAACCCCAAACTCTAAACCCTAAACCCTAAAAGCTAGTGTGTGACTCTGCTGTTCAACCGCTTGTGTAAGGCTGCCATCGCGCAGGAACCGCGGGCATTGCCTGCCTTATGCAGCACTCTAGCTGCACATGAGTGCAGCGGGTTTGGTGGTTTGGGTTTAGGGTTTCCGAAAATAGGGGTACCGTATTGGGGTCCTTATGATAAGGGAATCCTACTACTTGGGGATCTATATTGGGATTCCCTATTTTCGTAAACCCCCCACATGTAGAAATGCAGTATGCCCTAAACCCTGACAACCCTTTTTGTTCCCCCGTTTCTTGCGTTTCGGAAGTCAGGGTTCCCTTTCAGCCGAGTTAAACACCGGATCCCAACTCGGCGGTCAGGATCGAGGATGCCCAGTAGTACCCTTATTCCCTTTTCATTGGGTTCCTATCCCATATAAACCCCTATAAACCAAAAAGGGTGCCCTTTTTTCTCCTAGGCTACTGGGGAACCCAGTGATGCTGAGTAGTCTTGTCAACCACTGTGACAGCTTTCTCCGGCCATCTGGAGGCTTTTCTAAACCTCCCAACCCTACTTGGAGGTTCATGGGTAGTTCTAAGTAACGTTAGAAGTGTGGTAATGATGCTTATAACCCCACTTAGGGTACTTAAAAGCCTACTTCTACCTACCCAGGAACCTCCAAGTATCCCTAAACCCTAAACCCTGAACCCTGAACCCTAAACCCTAAACCCTAAACCCTCCTCCTGAGCACGAAGCCGAGCAGCCGGTATGGAGGCCGCCCTGCGCGGCAGGGAGAGACAGGGGGGGGGGGGGGGGGTTTAGGGTTTAGGGTTTAGGGTTTAGGGTTTAGGGTTTAGGGTTTAGGGTTTATTGGGGTTTATAGGGGTTTATAGGGGTTTATAGGGGTTTATAGGGTTTAGGGTTTATAGGGTTTATAGGGTTTATAGGGTTTATAGGGTTTATAGGGTGTTTAGGGTTTAGGGTTTAGGGTTTGCTGTGATCGGGCGTAGATGCTGCGAAGGTTAGATTTTGGAACAAGCTCGAAGGCTTCGTGAGGTGCGAAGAGCAGCTTTGGCCCGATTGTGGAGGGCCATCTATCACTTTTCTCCCACCCCACACCGTCCGAGGCAGCAACAGTCCACTTCTAAAAACTTAGTCAGTTTCATGACGCTCGGGGTTGGGTCCGAGAGTCAAAGGAATGGCGCTTTCAGGAGTGTCCTGCTTTTAGGTTTTAGGGTTTAGGGTTGGACGGCTAGAGACACCATTGCAGAATCCCGGCAATTGCACGCTCGCAAGACCACTTCCCAGTGAGGGGTGTAGGGTTTAGGGTTTAGGGTTGAGGGTTCAGGGTTTAGGGTTTAGGGCTTAGGATTCTCAAGCCCTTCTCTCTGCAGACGCAAACGAGGCTCTGCAACCTGGACTTCAAGTCGGCCACATGTGCTGCCAAGGCGTCTGGGCTGATGTTTTCCACAGAGTTTGGCCTTACATGCCATCTTTTTTGTGTAGGCTTTTGGGTTTGGGGTTTTGGGTTTTGGGTTTGGGGTTTTGGGTTTTGGGTTTTCGGTTTGGGTTTTGGCTTTTCGGTGTTGGGTTCAGCATTAGAGTTTGGAGCTTTAAACGGAGAGAGCTTTGCAGTTTGGGGTCGGGGGCTGATGTTTCAAGGTGAAGGGAAGAATGGATTCCGATGCCTTACAGAATTTAGGGTTTAGGTGGTGCAGGCCTGCGTTGCTTTGCTATGGAAAGGGCTCCTGTTGTTGTACCTCGTTTTCGCTCACATGTGCCTGTGCCTGCTAGAAATAACAGCTCGGGCAGCACCTGCTTTCAGGGGCGGGGTCAATGAGCCAAGGCAAGCTTACCCTAAACCCTAAGAAGGCACCCACCCCAACTCCACAAGTTGCCCTTGTAAAGCAAATCAGGCAACAGGCTGAACAGAGCGACACTGCATACTGGTTCTCCTGAATACTAACAGACCTTAATAGGGATGATAGCACCCCCTATTATAACCCTTATGAAGGACTGTTAGTATAAAGGTGAACATCCCAACCTACACCCCCATTCTAATTCAAAAGGCCCCTATATTACCATTGCACCATGAGAAACCCCGGACGAGGTAGCTCGACCCTCCATTGACCCAATGGCGCACCTGGCAGCACTCCTACGGAAGCCGCTCAGCGGCATTGACTCGCGAGCTCTTAGTAGGGGATGAATTTATATAAGTCGAACCTATAAGCCGTTACAGAATTATATAGGGGGAGATGAGCTAGAGTTCCTATTGTGGCTTTAAATGCTGTAGGTTGGGGAGCGTGTATGTGCATATATGTATATATGTATGTATATATATATATATATATATATATATATATATATATTTCTGTATGTATGCATGCATGCATGTGTGTGTGTGCGTGTCCATGAGGGGTTGCTAGCAAGGAGAACCCTGAATTCCATCAACTCGGCGAACCGCGAACCACAATCACACATATATACACACATACATGCATACATACATATATACATACATACATACATACACACACACACACATACATACATACATACATACATACATACACGCATACACATACATACACACACACATATAGATATATATATATATATATAGATATACACACACACCCACCCACCCACACACACACACACACACACATATATCTATATATATATATATATGATTCAGCCCCGGCGGCCCCCCCCCCCCTCCCCCCTACCCCCCCCCCCCCCTGTGGTGTGGTTGGGGGTTGGTTTTAGGGTTTTAGGGTTTAGGGTTTAGGGTTTAGGGTTTTAGGGTTTTAGGGTTTTAGGGTTTAGGGTTTAGGGTTTAGGGTTTAGGGTTTTAGGGTTTAGGGTTTAGGGTTTAGGGTTTAGGGTTTTCCCCGCGGATGGGGTACTAAGATGATCCCCCCCCCCCTGTGGTGTGGTTGGGGGTTGGTTTTAGGGTTAGGGTTTAGGGTTCAGGGTTTTAGGGTTTAGGGTTTAAGGTTTAAGACTTAAGGTTTAGGGTTTAGGGTTAGGGTTTAGGTTTTAGGGTTTAGGGTTTAGGGTTTAGGGTTTAGGTTTAGGTTTAGGGTTTAGGGTTTAGGGTTTAGGGTTTAGGGACCGTAGAGTAGGCTTGGGGGGGGGGGGGGGATACCATGGGGGGGGGGGGGTGGGGGTCCCAGGACGCTCGACGCTGAACCATTTTTATATATGTATGTATATGTATGTATATAAATACGTACGCACACATAAAAGGTGGGGCGACACACGCAGCTTGTACTTTAGAAACATCGCGTGAACACCAGCTTCAGAGCGCACCAGCGCGCCAAGCACGTTCCAAGCACACCTGCAGCAGTTGGGAGGGTTTAGGGTTTAGGGTTTAGGGTTTAGGGTTTAGGGTTTAGGGTTTAGGGAGGTTCGGAATCCTACTATACAAGGGCCCACAAGTTTGAGAATCCCCCATATGCCCACCTTCCATCAATCTTCCTTGCTGTTTATTTTGGCCCCAGCGACCTAAGATTTTTTGTCGTTTGCTGAGTTATTCAGCCTAGTTTGGAGTTTGGAGCAAGATGCTCTGTCCGACACCGCCGAAGCCAACAGAAGTACGAAAGCGTCCACCATTTCAGCGAAAGTACCACATCCTGGTCACAGCAGCTGATGGAGCGGCAGGTGACATGATGGACAAAGTCAATACCTCCGCGAGCGCGGACGAATTTGGCATCGAGGACAGGGCTTCCCGCCAAACATCGAAGGAGACCTCAGGGACCGAGAGTTTGCAGATCGCCGCTGACTCCTAGTAGTAGAGTCGGTAACCTTTAACCTTTTTGGGGTAATATGGTCCCCTTATAATCCCAAAGGTTAACCTTTAATTCCTCCAGGTTACTGGACAACTGAGGACTCCTCCGACGAGCAAGACCACGAGACATGCCTGTCGTTGTCCGAGCTTGTCTCGCAAAGAGCCAGTCGTGAAAAAGCACGTGGACGACATCATGGGCCAGCGTTGCAGTGGTGCCGTGATCAAGAACGTCAGCTGCAGTTCATGCGCAACCTCGAGTCATAAGGCCGAGCCTGAGAAGACTTAAGACCCTACTCAGCGTCGGAAAGCATGGCTGGACTCATCGGGAACAACCGCTTTCCATAGCCCTCTCCAAAAACGGAGGGGCTTTGGTAGGAACCCGAAACCCTAAACCCAAAACCCTAAGTTCCGAGTTTGCCCGAAAGTCCAGTTGCAAAGAGGCCTAAGAGTTGTGCGGAGCACACGCTTGCCCCTTCTTGTTTCAGAGCCCTCCAGCGAAGCCCCCCACTGCTGCTTCATGTATCATAGGGTTCAGGGTTCAGGGTTCAGGGTTTAGGGTTTAGGGTTTAGGGTTTAGGGTTTAGGGTTTAGGGTTTCTCACATGGTTTAGGTTTAGGTCTTGCATGCTGGAGGAGGGGCCGCCGGAGCCTGGCTCTCGGAGGAATCCTGTGTACAGCTTCGTACAGATTCCCATGCTCTACATGGAGCCTTCGGTGTGCGGGCAGCAGCTCCTCATCGGCAGGTGCTTCCTCAGCAGGGCTTCCTCATTTTTTTTGAGCATGGCCACCTCAAGTTGGCTTCTCAAAGGGTAGGGGATAGGATTAGGGGGGAGAATCTTGGGGATATAGACCCTCTGAATAAGGTCCCTGTTTGTAAGAGAGCCAGAAGAGGGTTCAGAAGGGTCCCCCTTTTAAGGGTCTCCCTTATCCTGCCTGGCATCATCAACCTAACACCCCTTAGTTAAGGATCATGCCCCTGGAGTGATGTTCAGGATCCCTATGTCATTTGAGGTAAATTTCTGAACTCAAAGGGGTATTGGGCTCCTTGGGACCTACTTTTCACCCTTGTTGAACAACCGGTTCGGACACATCGCCCTAAGCTGCTGCCACGCGTACCATTTTAGTGTAAAAGTTTCCAGCTTGCACGGCACTCCACAGGCAAGGGTTTGACGTTCACTCACGTTCATCTTGCGCCGGACGCCTTAGACGATCGCAGGCCAACATCACCAAATGGGTGTGGCAGCGAAAGGCCCACGGCACTTGCCATTCAGTAGTCCCAAAAGGGTCTAAGTACTACTAGGACTACTAGGATAGATACTCTTGAGGCCCAAAGTATCTACCATATTAGTACTTAGACCCCTTCGGGCGTGGAGAGCCTGCATGACTGGACAGCCCCACTGGCTAGCCCATCCAGCTACATCTGTGCGGCTCGCACCGTGGACGCTGGTCGTGCTCAGCCCAGTGCTGCTAGCAAGAGCACCCTAAACCCTAAACCCTAAACCCTAAACCCTAAACCCTAAACCCTAACCCTAAACCCTAAACCCCCCGTGCTGGCCCAAGTCGCGAGATCGTGTGAAAGCCATGTACTCGGGGGTCCGCTGGGGCCTCCGAGGAGCACGGGTTGAAAGAAGCCGTTTGTTGGGCTCCTGACGACAACTGCTGTACCTATGCAAGATGTTGCAGAGCCTGTACAGAAGTTCCCACGGCAAGTTCACCAGGTAGCCAGTGATCTCCTCCATGTCCAACGCAGTCATTGGTAATTTGAAGTGACAGCCCGCACACTCTGGCCGTTCCTGATGATCTGATGGGGTTCTTCTCCCTGTTTGATTCGGGAGAGGCGCCTACATCAGGTACAGTGGCTCATCAGTTCTGCGCTGCCATGCGCTGCAAGGTGAGCGAGGCTACAAGGCATACATACCGGACATACTGGTGAGCGAAGCCGAGACATTTCCTTTTAGTTGCAAGCTCACCGACCTGCCACCGGGCTCATACTCAACATGGGTTCTGGGGTTAGCATCTCCGGCCCATTACTCAAACCCGTCGTCAGGCAAGCTGGTTGTACTAGTATAGGGGTCGGAAGAATGACTACTAGTATTCCCTTGAGGTCCGTTTATAATACCCAACCCCTATGGTCCCTAAACCCTAAACCCTATTCTAATTGTTCAGGTTCCTATACTACACTGTTACACTCAGCTCGGCTGCCGAGGTCGGACTTGCCCACAGATTTCCACAGTAGCCTGCGGTTTTTTTTGCATCATCTAGGTAGGCCCTTTG